TTTCGTGGACTACAGCCCACTTCTTCGGATGCATATGCATCGTGGCTGTAGTCCACGAAAGCTTATGCTCTAATAAATTTGTTAGTCTCTAAGGTGCCACAAGTCCTCCTGTTCTTCTTTTTACAAAGGTCCTTTCAGCAGTAGTAGCCCACCTACGTCAATGGGGCATTGCACTATTCCCATACTCTTTATTCTGCTAAATCTGATCAGCGGAATTTTGTTGTTGAACAACCTGGCTGGGCTAATCTGAGCTGTTTCCATCCAGTAATAGAATAGATTGTTTCTTACACTGAGGAGTTTGTTATTTTGCATTCAAATTTGGACTGAGTTGTCTGTCTCTGTTAACAGAGTTTGTCATGTGAGAGGAGAGAGGGAACAACTGAAGAGTCTTTTCTCCTTTAGTTACAGCCACTGTGACTTGCTGATGTGCTAGAGGAGGTGCAAGTTACAACCTGTGATTTAGACCCTGATCCTTTTGGCATGGAGATGTTACCAGAGTTCATTATCATTGTCTACCTAGGGAGATAGGAACTACCATTCTGCATGAGACCTGTGATCCATCTAGTCCAGTATCCTGTCTCCAACAATGGCACCTATCTGATGCTTCAGAGCAAGGTCCAAGAAACTCCACAGTAGGTGGATAATCTGCACCCCAGGAGAGTCTCCTCCTAACCCTTAAAATATAGAGATTGGTTTAAGGCAGGGGTCGGCAACCTTTCAGAAGTGGTGTGCAGTGTCTTCATTTATTCCCTTAAGGTTTCGCGTGCCAGTAATACATTTTAACATTTTTAAAGGTCCCTTTCTATAAGTCTATAATATATAACTAAACTATTGTTGTATGTAAAGTAAATAAGATTTTTTAAATGTTTAAGAAGCTTCATTTAAAATTAAATTAAAATGCAGAGCCCTCCGGACCGGTGGCCAGGAGCCGGGCAGTGTGAGCGCCACTGAAAATCAGTTCACGTACCGCCTTTGGCACGTGTGCCATAGGTTGCCAACCCCTGGTTTAAGGCTTGAAGCATGAGGATTTATGTCCTCTGTATCTGTGTTTGTTGTAACTGTGGATATTCTTGTTATCCATTTAAATGTCTAATCTCTTTTAAATCTTCCTAAATTCTGACATTTTGTGGTAATGAGTTGCACAGTCTTATGATGTGCTGTGTGAAAAAATACCTCATTTTATCAGTTCTGAAGCTGCTGCCCTTTAATTTCATTGAATGTCTCCTTGTACCTATTTGAGGAGATAGGGAGAGTCAAAGTTCCCAATCTGCTTTTTCTATACCAGTCAATATTTTGTATACTGTTATGTCCCCCCTCTAGAGTTAAATCATCCCAAAGTTTTCAATCTATTTTCATAGAAGAGCTTTTCCATGTCCCTAATAATTCGTAGCACTTTTCTTTGAACTCCCTCTAAAGTGCCTTAGGGAGGCCACAATGTCAGTTTGTCTTAAAGAACCATGTGTTCGCTCCTTACTCAAAGTATCATATGTTGACACCAAAAAAACTATCCAATATTGCCCTATCTTGAATATTGTTTTTTTGGGAGAAGTTTGAGAAAGTTGTGATAAGGCAATTCCAGCAATATATGGAGTCCTCTACTCTCCTTGGCCCCAGTCAGTTAGGTTTTGGCCCTGAAGTGTGGTACAGAAACTGCACTGATTGTGTTAGCTGATGACTTCCTCCTAGCAATTTACACATATATGCTGATTATTTAGATCCCTTTTTGTACCACTGACCATGAGATTTTATTGACACCTGTGAACCTTGGAAGAGTAGCTTGGCTTGTTCCTGAGAGTTTCCAGAGGGTAGTATTGGGCAATTACAACTCTGCTCCATACAGTCCAAGGGAATATATTCACTTATTGGGGATCGATGCTGCTGCGATTGATGCACCGGGGGTTGATTTAGCGGGTCTAGTGAAGACCCGCTAAATCAATCACAGATCACTCTCCCATGGACTCCAGTACTCAACCAGAACAAGAAAAGTAAGGTAAGTCGACGGGACAGTGTTTCCCGTTGACGCAGCGCAGTGAGTTGACCTAAGCTACGTGAATAACATAGCTCGAGTTGCGTGACTTAGGGCGACTTACCCCTGTATTGTAGACAAGGCCTAATGGAGTTAAGGAGGTAATAATTGGTAGTACTGCTGACTTTAAAAGTTGAGACAGTAGGTAATTGGATATTGGCTTGTTTTGTAAAATGTGTAATTTTTATATTATGTGTGTGCCTAGTGTAAAGAACAGGCATATATTTGAAAATGTAAATAAATTAAATGATAAACTATACAATTACAATATTTTTAAATAGCATCAGTTACACTTCAATTTATTTTTAATAAATTTATTTATATCTGTTTTTGATCTGTTTGTTACTATTCAGTGTAGGTTTCTGGATGTTTATTAGAGACCAGACCAAACACCTCAGACCCAGATTTCATCAAGATTTTCTGTCCAAGGTTGAATGGGGTCTTGGGCCATGAGTAGGGCTCCTAGATGCTATGGCAATACAACAAATAATACTTAAATCGTTAAAAATTCACATTGCCTGCAACCCAGTGCAATATGCAAAATAAGCAAGAGATGGTATAATTTGTGGTCCAACTTTGCCTCTTCCTACCATCAAAAAACAGCTCTGATTTTACATACTAATTGACCAGACCAACACTGCCTCTATCCTATAGATTCTGCTGCTTTTCTGATTAATGCTAAAAGCTGGTTGCAATGATTATAGGTACATATGTTAAGTGTGTTTTTATATCTCTTCCTAGCCAAGAAGTATAAAAAGGTTACTGGCAAAGAAATCTACTCAGATACATTAGAAAGCACACCCATGCTGGAAAAAGAGAAGTTTCCACAGGATTATTTCCCTGAGGTATGTACAGTCCAATGGAGCATTCCAAAGTGTAAGGGTCCGGTTCTAGTTTCTCTTGCACTGAAGACTTCATTGGTGTTACTCCTGACTTAAAGTGGTATGAACTCGATCATCATCAAGTCATAAGCCTCTAGTTCTTTTGTGTCTCCATTTCATAGAACCTATAATATACATTTTTGTAAACCTTGAAGTATATTTATCAAACTCAACTGGAGTTCTATGTTTAAACAGTAACACGTTGTAAAGAATTTATTATTTATAGGAGATTCAAACAAACTTTCCTTTGTGTATCTTTTTCATTTTATGTATTTTTTTAAATGTTGTTGGTGAGGGGTGCAAACATGCTAGCAACAGCAGCTCCTGCTCAACCTTGAGGCCTGCACCTTCCACAGGTGCCTGGCTGTACCAGGGGATGGGCTCAGGGAGGCCCTGGTGAGTGGGGACCAGGCAAGGGCTGTGACAGGGGCTACTAGTCCTCCACAGGGCCTTCAGGGGTCTCTGAGCTGGGGCCACCTTTAGGGCACAAGGGCTCAGGTCCCCACACTATGTCCTGGAAATTGAAGGAATTTGGGGGAAGGGGGAGTTATCCAGCCCCTGTTGGAGAGTAAAGTCCCTGTTGCCAACTCAACATCTAGTCAGTTACAAAACTAGAGTTTTGTAACCTGGCCACCCATTCACACCTGAACCCCCCCTTACTTCTGCCCTCAGGGGCTCCCATATCTCTGTCCTGAAGACCCCCACTTCCCTGCAAAGCCACCACACTTCTACTTTGAGGGCATTTCCACTCACACTTGCACTTGCCCATCATGATGGGGGGGAGCATTTTTTTTTTTTTACTGTACTTGAATTGAGTGCACCAAAATTTCAACTTTAACAAACTGTGGCCACAACTTCTGGAAAAAAATAACCATACATTACAACTTTCTTAGAACCTTATCCCTGGAGCATTTTATGTTAACCATAGAGAACTTGCTACTCCCTCAGTACAGGCTTCTACAGATTTCTACCTGCTAAATTACATTAAAACACATCTGAAAACATATTAAATATTTTCTAATTTTATTTTTCTAAGTCAGCAATTCCTGTAGTTGTCTAAAGGATGTTATGGACGTGGTATATGAAAAAGGAGAAACCCCTGGATCAGACTTTTTTCAGGGTTTAGGCTCTGTTTCTCCATACAACACAATATATTATAATAACGTTGCTATAGCTACACTTCGGCATATATTTCCACTAATTTCAGGTTGCAGTAAGGCATACATACGGCAGGTACATTTTTTTGTTTACTTGGCAAAATTTGAAAGTAATGCTACACATTTTTAATATGTAGTTAAATTTTATGTTTCTTGTTCTTTCATTTTAAGGCAGAAAAAGGAAAAATCTCACAAAAAGCCTACACTACATCTAACTTAAGCTTGTATATTTACAGCTGGAACTAGATCACTGTGTTTAACCCATTTTCCTCTTACCCACACATTGGTGATTAGATGGCTTTCAATAAATAGACCTCAAATAGTGGGTATTCTGAAAATCTCTTCTGCCACAATGAGATGCATGAGAAACGTATCGGTCTTCACACTAAATTTCCAGGCTTTTGTGTGTTTTAGCCAGACTTTTATCATTACATTAACTTTTTTTGTATGTGTGAATTGGTTTAAGACTGATTTCTTTTCTTTTTATTACTGCCGCTTAAGGATGATCTAAAAGTAATTACAATGATTGAGGCATAATGCAATTCAAAATAATTACAGCCCACTGCATATAAAACTAACAAAACTTTCTGTGTTGATTTATGAGTCCTCTTGGCTGGGCATGAATCTGAAATGATGCCTTTGGGAGCAACACTGCAGATAATGTTAGGCCATTTAAAAAAGCAGATTTGTGTAGTCTATCAGGGCAGAGTAATGTTTTTTCCCCCATAGTGAGAAATTGGTTGTTATCATAGATCACAGATACTGCTCAAAGCTCTTATGAAAGATGAATTAATTTCACTAATGCTTTAATGCAAACCTTTCATGGAGAAGGCTGTATGGTGATAACCTTACTGCGGTCTCTCCTTTCTCAATGATGATTTATGTCGTCTTTTAGTAGATGAAACTGCCCGTATTCACAATCCATCTGCTGGCTAAAGGAATCCTATTAACAGGAGATCTGAGGAGAGACTTAATATTGTAAGGTGAAAGATGTGGTATCCCTTTCCTGGGGCATGATTTTTGTTTGGCTGTTTCGGGGGGGGGGGTGTCTTGTTTTAACATTTAGATACTTCTCTCAGAGAGCACCGATGATCTATATAATCTTTACTCAATTTTTGTGCTGTCTTACAAACAGTGGATCAGCTAACGAGTAGCTTGTTTAAAGTCAAAGCCAAGCTCATTGCTTTAAAAACTGCAGGCAATTGTCTGTCATCTTATCTCTGCCTATAGTTCTTTTCTCAACTGTGTTCCTGGAAGTCCCTTTTTTCCCTAGTATTTACAAACAGAGTGTTTGGCTCTGTTAAAGACCAGCGAGCAACCAAAAGGTATTGGATTGCAACTTGTACCTCAGACTGGTGAGGGCATTCAGGACCACACTTTTTTGTTTATCTGTTCTAGCTGTACTTTATGTGCTGTGCTGTTTTAGGCCCTAATCCTGCAAACATTTTCACACATTCTTAATTGAAACAAGTGAGCACTCCTGTGAAGTTAATGGAATTACTTGCATGTTTTCAAGCAAAGCACTTCCATAACTGTTTGAAATTGTCCTATTAGGCAGGGAGATGATCTTGTGGTTTAAGCACAGGCAGGTGAATTGGGAGACGTGGGTTCTTGTGCTGTGCTGTCCTGTCTCTCTCAAATTTGCTGCATGATCGTGGACAAGTCATATAATCTTGTGCTTCAGCTATCCCATGTGTAAACTGGGGATAACAATATCTACCTTAGTGGGCTGTTGCGAGGTGTAATTCATTAATGTTTGTAAAGCATTCTGAAAGCCTTGGAGGAAATGAACTATAGCAGTGCTATCATATTTTGTTCTTCTCTGACCTACAAGATAGACACATCCATGCCCAGTCCTGGCAACCCTAAATTCCCCTGTCCTGTTAAAAGGAAGTGCTTTTTTTAATAGGAATTTAGTTCTGGGTTGTGGTTTTTTAGTGTAATAAACCATGGAGAAGCAGAAAAATCTGTAGGACAGGTGAAATACTAAGGCTCCAAAACTGGAGTGAGTAATTATAAGCCTGTGCTCATGCATTTTTTAAGTTCTGTTCTCAAATACTTAATTGTAAGTTCGTGATTGCAAGTAATTATTTTTGTTATTTTGGCTGTAATTATAGGCCAGAGAGCTGCTAGCACAGAACTTGCAGGACTGCAGCTACTGGTAGGGTCAGCCCCTTCTTATTCCCAATCCCTTCTTCTGTGACCTCCAACTCACTAGCTCTTTCCTGGTTATTTAACACAGAGAGGGGACCCCCTGACCTTTCCTCATTCCATGCTCTTGTCCTGATTGCTGGCACAAAATGCATGTAGGCCGCTTTTATCAGTTTGAAACACTTAACTAAAACATCCAATTAAAAATAATTAACTAAATCAGCCTCCCTTTCATAAGATGCATTTGCCAGCACCACAGGGAGGTACTCACAGAAAGGCCTCTGGCAGATGAGCCCCCTGCAAGAAGCTGCCTGTGCAAGCAGAAAGAACTGTGGACAGAACTCGTCTGACTGTTGTTTTAGTTCCTTCCAATAAATATGATCCACAGTGAAACTGTTCAGAGAGACATAATTGGGTTAAGTAACACCTAGACGTACTCAGAGCACTTTTATTTGTGTCTCATTTGATATGAATAGAAAGAAAACAGGAATGTGAAACATTCTGAGCCTATCCTGCACTTCTATCAAGAACATTTTACGCTGCTGTCAATATGAGGTTTATTTACCTACAGAGCCGGTGCAAGGAAGTTTCGCGCCCTAGGCGAAACTTCCACCTTGCGCCCCCCCCCCCAGCCCTGCGGCAGCTCTCCACCCCCGCCCTGAGGCGCCCCCAACCCCCCACGGCAGCTCCCCCCCCTCGGGAGCCATGCAGCAGCTCCCCACCCCAGCTCACCTCTGCACCGCCTCCTCCCCAAGCATGCCGCCCCCACTCTAATTCCCCTCCCCTCCCAGGCTTGCGGTACCAAATAGCTGATTGGCACCGCAAGCCTGGAAGGTGGGAGAAGTGGAGCAGTGACGGTGCACTCGGGGAGGGGGTGTAGCAGAGGTGCAGAGGTGAGCTGGGGTGGGGAGCCTTGCGGCAGCTTCCTCCCCCCCGAGGCACCCCCGCAGCAGCTCCCCACCCCCTCCGGCCCAGGGAGCCATGCGGCAGCTCCCCACCCCAGCTCACCTCTGCTCCGCCTCCTCCCCGAGCACGCTGCCCCCACTCTAATTCTCCTTCCCTCCCAGGTTTGCGGCGCCAAACAGCTGATTGGCGCCGCAAGCCTGGGAAGCGGGAGAAATGGAGCGGCGACCGCGCGCTCAGGGAGGGGGCATAGGAACGATGTAAAAAAAAAATGGGGGCACTGCTTTTTGGCGCCCCCAAATCTTGGCGCCCTAGGCAAGCGCCTAGTTTGCCTAAATGGTATCACCGGCCCTGTTTACCTACGTAATGAATATGAGATTGAATCATTAGTTTGTACAATTATGTTAACTCTGAGGACGCTCACTGCTTTCTTCTTCCGCATTTAGAAATAGTTAATGGACCAATCACACCTGTGCAATCCTGTGAATTCATTGCAGTTGACCAATGTAGCTAAGAGAGAAATTTTGTCAAGTGACTGCTAGAACTAAAATCAAATTTGCCCATGAAAGCCAGAATCTGCAATCCTTACTCAAGCAAAGCTGCACAGTTTGACCCAAAATGTACTTGCCCTTGAAAATTACATACTGTATGCAATTGTACTCTATCAAAAACAGTGTTTTTCAGAAGTAGAACTCTGAAATGAATAATTACCATAAAGAAATTATATATGTTGGTGGCTAATATATTACTACT